TACCAGAGTTCCCTTATTATATATTATATATTATTAGATATATATTTCTCTAATATATAGAGAAAAATACTCTAAGAATGCAACAGTATACAGCAGGCAGCTTAGGAGTCCTGTGGAAAGATTACCGTTTTAAATATTGGTTTACGATGTCTGGACCTGCATGGAGTGGCTATCTGAGGGAACTGAAGGAGGTGGCAAAATAGGAAGGTTGAGGGAAAAGTTCCAGAGAATCTCAGTAATTGTTTTCATTAAAAAATGAATCACTGAAAACTTTCACACAAATCACAATGAGGAAAAAAAAAAATCATTAACAAAAGTCACTCAATATCAATGAGTGCATATATTTCCCTTAACTATTCAGGGATCAACACATTCCTATTTTGTACTTTTGGCACTCTTGGTACAAAACAAAAAACAAAAAAACACTGCCAGTTGATTCTAACCCATGGTGACCCCTACAGAGTTTCCAAGGCTGCATATCTTTACAGAAGTAGAGAATACCTCATCTTTCTGCCATGGAGTAGCTGGTGGGTTCGAACCACCAATCTTTTGGTTAGTAGCCTTAACCACAGTGCCACCAGAGCTCCTTATCCTTGGTACAAAATTATAAAAATTTTGGTAAGGTAAAAAATGTTTAAATATTCATAAATGTCTCTGCCATATGTGCTTTAAAAAGAGTTCTGAAGGTGTAGTGGTTAAGGCATTTGGCTGCTAACCAGAAGGTTGGTGATTCAAACCCCCCAGCTACTCTATGGGAGAAAGATTGGGCAGTCTGCTTCCATAAAGATTTACAGCCTAGGAAACCCAATGGGGGTCACTATGAGGCAGAATCAACTCGATGGCAGTGAGTTTGGTTTGGTTTATATACGCTTTCTTTTCTAAAGGAGAAATGTGGCAGACAGAAAGCAAAGTCTGAGACTTTTTGCCTAGTTTTTATATTTCAAAGTTAAAGTTTCACTCTACTTTGCTAATTTTTTTTTTTAACCTGAGGTAGTAGGACAGAACTGGGAGAGGAGGTAAAAGGTGAAAGATAAATGCAAGTTTTTGGTTTAGAACATACATACCTTAACTGAAAATCAGTCCTTTAACAGTGAGGTAGCAACAGCAATACTGGAAACTCTTACTCACCTAAGCCAAGAATCTGGAAGACAGCTACTGGCCAACTGAGTAGGAGAGATCCATATTTGTGCCCATTCCAAAGAAAATTGATCCAACAGAATGTGAAAATTATCAAACCATATCATTAATAGCACACACAAGCAAAATTTTGCTGAAAATAATTCAAAAATGGTTGCAGCAGTATATTGGCAGGGAACTGCAAGAAATTCAAGCTGGATTCAGAAGAGGGTGTGGAATGAGGGATATATATCATTGCTGATATCAGATGGACCTTGGTTGAAAGCAGAGAATACCAGAAAGATGTTTGTTTACTTGTGCTTTATTGACTATGCAAAAGCATTTGACTGTGTGGATCATAACAAATTATGGATAATATTGGGAAGAACGGGCGTTCTAAAACACTTAATTGTGCTCATGCAGAACCTGTACACAGACCAAGAGGCAGTCGTTCAAAGAGAACAAGGGGATACTGTGTGGTTTAAAATCAGGAAAGGTGTCTATCAATGCTGTATCCTTTCACCATACTTATTAAGTCTGTATGTTTAGCAAATCATTTGAGAAGCTGGACAACATAAGGAGAAGCATGGCATCAGGATTGGAGGAAGACTCATCAACAACCTGTGATACGCAGATAAAAAAAACCTTGCTTGTTGAAAGCAAAGAGGACTTGAAGCACTTACTGATGAAAATCAAAGACTACAACCTTCAATGTGAATTACACTTCAAAGAAAACAAAAATCCTCACAACTAGACTAATAAGCAACATCATCATAAATAGAGAAAAGATTGAAGTTGTGAAAGATTTCATTTTACTTGGATCCACAATCAACACCCATGGAAACAGCAGTCAAGAAATCAAACTGTGTACTGAGCTGGGCAAGTTTGTAACAAAAGACCTCTTTAAAGTGTTTAAGAGCAAAGATGTCACTTAGAAGACTAAGGTGCACCTGACCCAAACCAATTGTCTCATATGCATGTGAGAGCTGGACAATGAATAAGGAAGACAGCAGAAGAATTGATGCATTTGAATTGCAGTTTGGGCGAAGAATATTGAATGTACCATGGATTGCTTGAAGAATAAACAAATCTGTCTTGGAGGAAGTATAGCCAGAATGCTCTTTAGAGGTGAGAATGGCCAGACTTCGTCTCTCATTCTTTGGTCATGTTCTCAGAAGAGATCAATCCCTGGAGAAAGCTATCATGCTTAGTAAAATGGAAGGTCAGCAAAAAAAAAAAGGAAAAGACCCTCAACAAGATGGATAATACAATGGCTCAAGCATAGCAATGACTGTGAGGATGGTGCAGGACCAGACAGTGTTTCATTCAGTTGTACACAGGGTCACTTTGAGTTGAAACCAACTAGACAGCACCTAACGAACTATGTGATGTCACACATACTGCCTTCAGAAAAGTCTGAGGTTGGGGAAGAGTGGTAAAACTTATCATTATGAATTGTCATGCATAGTCAGGTACTTAGAAAATATTTATTTAGACAATATTTATTATAGGTGAAAAAAAAGATAAGGTTTCTTAGACAAAGTCATAGAGGGAGTGGCAAGGCTAGGCCAGGAATACCTCAGCCTGCGAACCTAGAAGCTAGGGGCCAGAATGAAGTTGGGTCCCATTCCCAGCTCCTATGGCAGCGGGTTCCAGTCCTCAATACTATTCAGGCACCTTCACTGCCATCTGAGAATGAGTAGGGGGTGGGAGGAAAGCAGGAGGGGATAACCTGTCTACATGAATTCAATAAGGAGTTAAAACACAACCTACTCCTGAAAGTTCCAAATCTACATAATCATTTTTTGTCCCTGTGAGCTATAGATACGCTGTTTCACAATCATCTCAAATATCTGAAAGCTAAAGATCTTCCCCAGGAAACAGGTCCAAACTTTGAATTTTACACAAGCAACCGGGAGCCATATAGGTGCTTGTTCGGGGGCCACAGGTTGCTCTGGCCCACGTTGGAGGTGCACCTCTGGCACTGCTTGCAGCGCCGATATTTCTTGCATTGGTCCAGAAGGAACAGCTTGTCTGAAGCCCTAGGGAGAAGAAACGGAAAGCATTCATCAGAAGGTGCTCCCTGAGTCCTTGCTGGGGGATGAGCACTGAAGCCAGTGCAGTGGGCAGAATATGAAAGAAAAGTAAGATCTGGTCTCTGCCTTTGAGGAGCTTAAAATCTACCTGGGGTTAATCACTTGTAGTCTCTCCTCCTCCATGCTACTACCTGCGACTCACCTCAGCCTGGCATCCCTTGCTTGCAAACTTCTGCTCTGATCCCAGTCTTCAGTAAATAAAGGACCCTTCCCAACAATCTGACTCCAGCCCACCTTCCCAGTCACACTGACCCAAACTTACAAAAAAACAGAAAATTTGCCCAAGGTCACAGAGTCAGTGAACAGTGGCTCCAAAGCCTCTGTGTTTGCTGCTCCGCTCTGACAGGGTGGTTGAGAGTAAGCTGCTGTTTAACAGTTAACACCAGAGAAGGGAGCTCTGGTGGTGTAGTGCCTAAGGCACTTGACTGCTAACCAGAGGGATGGTGGTTCAAACCCACCAGCCACTCTTCAGAAGGAAGATCAGGCAATCTACTTCTGCAGTGATACTGCCTCGGAAACCCAAGGAGGGGTTGCTATGAGTTGGATCCAACACGACAGCAATGAGTTTTTAGTTTTTTGAGTACCATAAAAATTCAAGAAGCCGGGGCTTCTAGAAAGTTAAAGGCAGTAAGGGTGAGTTGGAATGGTGTGGTGGTTCAGTTTGTGTGTCAACTTGGCTGGGCCTGGTTGAGTGGCTGGGCAGCTGGTGGTAGTTATTCCCCATGATGAGACTGGTTATCAACTCCATGGTGGAATCCACTGTGAGCAGCTGAGCAGCTTTCATAGGGAATGTGGTCTGCTTCCTGTATATAAGCAGAAGCCTTGGGAAATGGTCTCTAGCTCATGGCACCTTGAACACTGCATGTAGCCGTGTCATTGTTCAGCAGCCTGCCATGCTCTGCTCACCTTGAGTCTTACAATGCACTTGAATTAATGGACTGCCACGTGATTTGGTAATATCAAGACTGTGCCTTTTTACTTGTCAACCTTGGGTTTGTCAGTCTCAGCAGCTAGCAGTTGTCTGAGTAAAGAGATGCCTCTAGCTCCAGTGGGCCAGGAGCAGGAGGCAGAGCTGAACCCTAAAGTTGAGGGGCTCTCACCCAGCCCCTAGAGCCTGGCACTTTGAACATGGACTTAAAGTTTCCAAACTGTAAGAGAAAAAACTCCTGTTTGTTAAGGCCATCCCATTTGTGGTATATTTCTGTCAGAGCGGCACTAGGTAACCAGAACAAATAGAGACAGAAGAGGAGAACAAAAGCATTTCACAGCAGAGATGATGCAAAAGCAGTGACTAATTTTCCACTTCAACAATTTTGCTGTATTATGCAGGACCATCCCTGGTATGCTCACTATCCCATCAAAATTTATTCATGGGTAGAATTTTGAGAAAATGAATTCAAGGGCAGCCTTAAAAGAGAAATGAACAAACAATCTTGAAAGTAGGCAGTGGAAGACCTACCTGGCTTCCTTGGTAATGGGAGGGAGTATCATGTGCCAACTACATACATGTCAGCATTATTTTTGCTCATTTTGTTTTCTTTTAACACCAACCAATTCCTTCTTCCTACCTGCTGCCTGCTTAAGCCCTGCCCAGCAACTTGCTCTTGGTCCTCAGGTTAAAGGTCTGATCCACCATGTCCCTGGAGCAGCCTTGTTAGCCTGCCACTCAAGATCACTTCCTGTGTCCGCTCCATCCTTTCTAACCATAGTGGCCAACCATTCTTCCTAAACCAAACTAAAATCTCCTGGTGTTAATTTCACTGCCTTTTAGTCACTTTCCTACAACACTGAGAAAATGGCTTGGAACTTCCAACTCTGTCTTGCCCTTCCTCTTTGCTGGGTCAAACAACTCACTTTTCTTTAAAACCTATTTTCCACATCTTCATTCATTGTCACAAAATATGTCTCTACACTTTGAAAGACAGATAAGAAATGCCTTAAAAGAAAATCAAAAAGGAAAAGTAAAGTTAGGATCAAGATCCATTATTGTAAATTTTATCCATGATAAAAAAATTAGTTGATAACTGGTAACATAAAATATTCAGCATATTCAGGTTTTAACAAGAGTTCACTGTATAAGACTTGCCTTGTTTCATTAATTATTTAGCACTCTATATCATGTCTTATATTTGTAGTTATTTTAATTTTTTCAAAGTGTATACTTTCTCATCTCTTTACTTTATCCCTAAAATCCCTATGTTAGTTTGTCAGGTAATTATTTACTATCTCCATTTACAAATAAAAAAGAAAGACAAAAATATTGGCTACCTCTCCAACTCATTGTCGTGGAGTCGATTCAGAATCACAGAAACCCTTGGGACAGAGTAGAACTGCCTCCATAGGGTTTCCAAGGCTATAATCATTATAAAAGCAGATTGCCATATCTTTCTCCTGCAGAGTAGCTCATGGGTTCAAACTTCCAGCCTTTCAGTTAGTGGCCAAGCATTTAACCAGTGCACCATCACGGTTCCTTTGCCTCTCCAAAGGTAGTATTAATTATTAGAGTTAGTACTAAAACCCAGATTTCCTGACTCTAAATTGTAAATATAGTTAGGAAGAGGGAGCAGGGATGTAATAATAAATTTCAGAAAGATGCTCATGGCTGGTTCTATAATGGGCAGCTCATTTTCCAGTTTTCAATCTTACAACTCCTTGACTTGGTTCTTAAATGACCATTCTGTAAGCCTTGGAAGTGTTCAGATGAGAAACTCACCCTCCCTACTTCCAGCTATCTATTTCCAAAAAGAATCCCCAATGTCCCCACCCTCCCACCTCCCTACCCTCCACACTCCCACTCACCCTCTGCCCAAAAAGAAAATAAAGCTACTCTGAGCATACACAAAGATTAGAACAGGGTTAGCAAATATAAAGCATACAACACAGCACTCTCCAATCCCACATCCACAACAGACATTTCTAATCAATCACAGCAGTATTTCCAACTGAACCCCATCTTGGTTACTCCATAAAGTTATCTAAGCAGCCACAACTAACCAACTGGAGTTGACAAGTGGAATGAAATCTATCTCCCATCCCAGGATTAGAAGGAAGTAAACAAGGAGCAGAGGAGATTTACTTTGCAAACAGAACTTCTGGCTCCAATCAGGCATTACCTCTCAAAAGCCTTCTCCTCCAGGTCCCTCTGCCTCTTCATCTCAGCACTCCTTTCCCAGTCCTCCTGTAAGCACTGGTTGACTCTATTCACTCGCTCCAGTTCAGCAGTTCTGTCTGCCAAGAATCTAGGAAGAAGAGAAGGGTCTGACCCTAGTCATGATACTTTTAAGCACCATCCTTGGGAGCCCCATTCCTTTTGTGTTAATTTAATCAGAAAATCTTTGGGCTTTTCCCAGTACTTTTAGAAATATACTGAAAGGCATGAACACTGTAAAAACATAGTACAACTCCTAGCTCTGAAATAATTTATAGTCTAAAGCCTTTCATCATCAGTCCATTTAATTTAGCAGGATTGAAACCTTTCTCCAATTAACAATGTCTGCTTTTAAAGCCATTATTTTTCTTTGTGGCTAATGTAACTCATCTGAGGGATCATCCCAATGGATTTCCTATACAATGTGCTTCTTTCCTTGATTTTCAACCTCTCAGGCATTTTACAGAAGAAAGAAGATAGGTATAGAAATGATCAACTAAGAAGGGGAAAGAAACAGAAATCACTAGGTAAGAAAATGAAAGAGAGAAACTAACATTGTGAAGAAGGAAAAAAAAATAGAGTTTCAGGTGACGATCATGTCATCAAAGAAGTGATTACAGTATAATAGCTCTCTTCAAATACAATGTCTCAGCATTCCAGGTGTGTTTCTGTCAATGGTCTCCAATCATACAGTCACTACTGTTGTTAATCACCGCCTTAAATTAAACCTTGTTCAAATTATTTAATATAGGTGGTGATTATTTATTTCCTACCAAACACACTTCTCATTCAAGTCTAGAAGGGAATTCCCTAAATGTGACTTGATTTCGCCTGCTCTGAAGAACTTTAAAAGGAACTTTTGTGGCACAGTAGATAAGGCATTTAACTACTAATAAGGTTAGTGGTTCAAACTCATCAGCTGCTCTGCAGGAGAAAGAGAAGAGGCAATCTACTTCCATAAAGGTTTATAGCCTTGAAAACTCTATGGGGGTCTCTATGAGTCAGAATTGACTCAATGGCAATGGGTTTGGTTTTTGGTTTTAAAGGAGTCCTGGTGGCACAGTGGTTAAGTGCTTAGTTGTTAACTAAAAGGTGGTTAGAACCCACCAGTCACTCCTAGGGATGAAGATGTGTCAGTCTTCTCCTGTAAAGATCACTCCCTTGGAAACCCTACAGGGCAGTACAACCCTATTCTACTGGGTCGCTTCAAGGCAGAATCAACTTATGGCAATGGGTTTAGCAGTACCAGCCACTAGGTATCAAGATCCAAAGGTAAAAACCAGTAACATTCTCTGCGCTGGTTCATTTTCACTAAAATGGCAATGGCCGCTTTCTATCTAACAAGCATTGACTTAACAGCTACTGTGTAGCTGTTTTAAAAAGATTAACTGAGATAATACATGAGGGAAAAAGTGTTGGTGCCTGTCACACAAGGAGGGCGCAATGGTAGCTATTATTTACATAGTTTCAAAAGGACAGGTAAAAATCATCTTAATTTAAATACCTAAGAGAGTTAAGAGAATGAGGAGGGAAACTAGCATTCTTACACACTGCTGGTGGAAGCAAATGACTATCCTCTTTAGAAACCAAACTGTCTTTGATAAATTTTAAATGTACCATATCCTTGACTCAGCAACCCTTCTTTACAGCAATTATCCTACAGAAACTAAAGAACTAGTGTAAGGGTTTATTTTCATGAATGTTTATTACAGAATTGTTGTAATAGCAAAACATATGGAAACAAAGTGAATGTTCATCAATAAGACAATAATATATCTACAATATATATTTTATGCTGCTATTCAAGAAAAAGGAGCTGTGGTAGCGTAGTGCCTAAGGCACTTGACTGCTAACCAGAAGGCTGGCGGTTCAAACCCACCAGCTACTCCTCAGAAGGAAGGTTGGGCAATCTACTTCCATAGTGATACCTCCTCGGAAACCCAAGGAGGGGTCACTATGAGTCGTGTCCGACTCAATGGCACATAATAACAACAACAGCATTCAAGAAAAATTAATTTGGCACATATGTACTGACCTAAAAATAAACTAATGACACATTATTAGATTTTAAAAAGTTGGCATGCAGAGTAATGTGTAAGATCCTATAGATATCATTTTCATTTGTAAAAACAGAAGGTATATATATGTTAGTTTCTATATATTTGCACAGAATAGAAAAAAAAAGGTAGAAAGCTATATCTCAGCCTTCACATTGGTTATCTGGTGAGAGAGATCATTAACATTTTTTTAATCTCTCTACTTATTTCAATAAGCATGAATTTTTATAATTTTTAACTAAAGGAAAACAAGTATAAATAGTTTAGCAAACCTGTCTGGAGCGCATTGATTAAATTATTTCCTCTGAAAGGAAGTAACCTCTTATTTGCCACTGGGGAATCATAGAACACATCTTGCTTGAGATGAACGAGAGAAGGGGAGGAAGTTAGAAAAGTTAAGGGAAATGAGAGAATCTAGGATAAGAAGGATATAGAAGCAGAAGAGACAAGGATCTGACCCATGCAGCAGGAGAGTCTACAAATGGAGCTCTGACAGGAGATAACCAAGTCAAGATAACAGTGAATATTTGTTCACAGCTTTATTGTTTCCAAAAATGCTGTCATATATTACTCAGCCATGAAGAGAAATGAAGTCCAGAGGCATGCTGCAACATGGATGAACTTTAAAACATGCTGAGTGAAATAAATTAGTCACAAAAGGACATATATTGTATGAGCCCACTTATATGACATAGGCATATGTATGTTGTTGTTGTTGTTATGTGCCGTCGAGTCGGCCCCGACTCATAGCAACCCCTCCTTGGGTTTCCGAGGCAGTATCACTACGGAAGTAGGATTGCCCAACCTTCCTTCCGAGGAGTGGCTGGTGGGTTTGAACCGCCAGCCTTCTGGTTAGCAGTCAAGTGCTTTAGCCACTATGCTACCAGAGCTCCCAGGCATATGTATAGTAACCATTATTAGGCGAAAGGTGGAGTGATTGCTTAGGGGCACAAAGTTTGTGTTAGTGGTGGTGGATGATTTGGAAAAATATAGTGGTAAATGTTGCACAACATAACGAACATAATCAATGACACATGTTAAAAATTACTGAATTAGCACATGTTTTGTTATGTATATTTTTACCACAAAATTTTTTTTTAAATCTCTATAGAAAGGCAAAGGAACTAGAATAGTACAAATAATTATGAAAAAGAGGAACAAAATTGGAGAACTAGTAATACCTGATTTTGAGATCTATAAAGCTACAGTAATAGAGATAGGACAATAATGGCAAAAGGACAGACATATCAATAAATAGAAAAGAACAGAGACTCTAGAAATAAACTCACAAATATATGCTCAAATAATTTTCAATGAACATGCAAAGGAAATTCAAAGAAGAGTAAAACTCCTTTCAAAAAATGATGCTGGAACAATTGGATATTTATATGCAAAATAATTTTGAGCCATACCTCACACTAGATACAAAAGTTAACTCAAAATGGATCACAGACCTAAATGTAAAACTTCTTAAAAAAAAAAAAAACATAGGATACAATCTTTATGATTTCGATTAGGCAAAGATTTCTAAGATACACCATTAGGATGATCCACAAAATAAAAAAGGATAAATTGAATTTCATAATATTAAGAAATTCTGGTCCTCAAAATATACTATTGAAAGGGTTAAAGGCAAGTACAGTCTAAGAAAATATTCGCAAATCACATATCTGATACAGGATTTCTATCCAGAATATGTGAACAACTCTTGCAAGTGAACAGTAACAAAACAAAACAAAAACTTTAATGGGCAAAATATTTGAATAAGCAATTCATAAAAGAAGATATATGGATGACAAATAACTACATGAAAAATGCTCAACAGTGATGTCCAGATAAGCAGAAACTAAGGGAATTTGTTAAATCCAGACCAGCCTTAAAACAGATACTAAAGGGAGTCCTTTGAACACAGAACCAAAAATAGCAAATAACAACCGACCATTAATACACAAGATGACATAACCCAGAAACCACAGCTATGGACAT